GATTATGACGCATAGAAATTGTTTCAAAATATTCTTTGTAATAAATATAATTGACCAGTTTGTTAATTAAACTGTAAAGAGGCAGTGGTAGACCAGTTGTAACGCGCTCGCTTGGGAAACCCAGTGAAGCGAGTTCAAATCCCGGGTCTGACACCTCTGATATTTTCATGTGCGAATCATTTTCCAACATGATTACATCTTATCTTACGGTGAAGGAAAACATCGTAAGGAAAGCTGCATGTCTGATAGAACCTAGCTAGTTTTTGAAAGACATGTGAAGTCCTCGTATTGGAGGCAGGCCCGTGCCAGACAGTGGGACGTTAAAAAGGGCTGAATACAAACTATTTTTTAATTTTTAACCGGCCTCTAAAAAAGAAGGAGATTCTCTATTCATCGGAATCTTTTTTTAATGTATGTTCACCGATTACTCGAAGACGCCTGAACCGACTTGGAAAATTTAGTTTTTGTTTCAAAGGGTATATTTCCCAGGTGGTCCTATACAAATTTTTATCGAAATCGGTCAAGTGTTTTTTTTAAGTCAACAAATAAATTATGTTTTTAAGTTAGTAAGTTTATGTTTTTAAATATAATTGAATATTTGTTTCAGACTAGCATCACTTGTGCGATCCTTCTCATCTGCTTCATTAGTTCTATTTATTGTGCGCCATGGAACTTTGGCGGAGATAATGGGAATAATTCCGGAATTCATGTTCTTGACAACTTGACTCTCTTAACTAAAAATAACTCATCGGCTATCAATTAGGGACAAGGAGAAGAACAACAAAATTCGTAATTCTAAACCCGTTACAAAGTCTACATCAGTGTTATATGTTAAACACTAAACATTTATATTAAAAAAAAACCGACTTCAAACAAAAGCACTAAAAAATAAAAAATAACTGATTGGTAGTTTTCATTTACTATACATACCTAATCAAATATTTTCGAAGTCCGTGTGCTTTGCTTTGTATGGGCTGGCACCGATTTCGAAAATATTTGATTAGGTATGTATTTAATAGGTAGGCTCTAATTACTTAGCCAAAGCACACCGACTTCGAAAATATTAGATTAGGTATGTATAGTAAATGAAAACTACCAATCAGTTATTTTTTATTTTTTAGTGCTTTTGTTTGAAGTCGGTTTTTATTTTTTTGTTAAAAACTTTTTATTTTTCCCTTTTTAGTGTAGACAGTAGTAGCAAAGTAAGAATTCTAACGTGTTAGGCTTGTCAAATCAAACAAAATAAGCCCAAACTCATAGTATCTACTATTAGCCGTTGAAGAGTTTTACCTATCCACCTTGTGGCCTTGCCATCAGATCAGGTCAACAACACCGAACCACTGTACTATCAACGGAAATAGAAATACTTGCAAAGTTTCAAGTCAATATGACAATTAGAAGTAGGTTAAATTCATCATTAGCTGTTTTTCCACCCTTAGGGGTGGTATTTTTTTTTAAATTTAAATGTCACCTATCTGGAAGTATCCCCCTTTCAAACAAAACAAAAATTGTCCAAATCGGATAATAAATGACGGAGTACTGAGGTAACAAACATAAAAAAAAAATACATATAGTCGAATCGAGAACCTCCTCCTTTTTGAAGTCGGTTGAAAACGATTAACGCTATTAAACTCAAGCACGTTGTCAAAGTAACCATTTATTTGGCTTCAATTATTACAACAAATATCCCAAAAAAATGTTTCATTTCTATAAAAAAAAAATATATATTATTTAAAAAAATGCATATGTCAAATTTACTAGAAATTGCTGTAACATTTTTGATAATTCATAACAATTGTACTTCGTTGAAATAAATAATTATTAAAAAATATTGTTTTTTATTATTATCCATACTATTTTACATTTTATATGCATTATAGTGGTGGCCTATAGTAAGTATAAAAGGCAGTGGTAGCCAGGTGGTAAGGCTCTCGCTGGGGAAACCGAGTGAAGCGAGTTGAAATCGCGGGTCTCGCACCTCTGATATTTATAACATGTGTGTGTTTATCATTCCCAACATGATTACCACTAATTGTCTTAAAACAACGGTGAAGGAAAACATCCTGAGAAAACACGCGTGTCTGAGAGAACCTATACTCATAACCTATATAATAACCGAATTCGGTTATTATATGGGACCACCTAGGAAGTATATACCATTTGATACAAAAAAAAATCCAAAACGGTTCAGGCATCTTCGAGTAATCGGTGAAAATACAATAAAAAAAACCGACGAATTGAGAACTTCCTCCTTTTTTAGATTGCCTAATAGTGACTCAACGTATTTAATTCGACATGACATGACATACATGACGTGGCACACACGGCACAACAAGTTTGGCATAGTTTGTATGTGCTTGCTGTGCCAACCAACCGTCGCGGGTTCATGCCCCGCTGGGGGCACTCATCTGTGTGATGAGCACGAATGTTTGTACTCCAGTCATGGGTGTTTATATTTATAATATGTATGTATTTAAAGTTATATACTTATATTTTAGTTTAAAATATTTCCAATAAAATGTCGACTCTTAAATAAAAATTCATATGTAGCCTTTGGGAATCTTAGTAGGTGTTTATTAGTTGTTTAATCTCATTTTAAATAAAATGCGAGTATTAAATAATAATCTTGTTTAGTATTACAAAAAGTTGCAGCTTCTACAAAAAAATATGAAAATTATATTAAATCTGTAAAGTTATGTTAGTTATAATTCTCACTTTATTCGTTGTATCTGTTGCCAAATAGAAATTTTGATAGTAAATAATTATTTTGATCAACTTTAATATGATACAAGTCCAAAAATATTTTTGTTTAATATTTTAGCAATAAAGAAGAAATCAAAATGAAAAATTATATCCACATATTATTTACTTACAGCCAAGTTGTATTATTATTTTTATATCTTAGCTTTCAACTAAAATTCACTTACTTCAACTTTGTTTTAGTAGAAACTATCTAAATTGTTAATATTTAATACATGCATTTAAAGTATTACATGTGAATATCAGGTGCACCGTACTTAGATGGTTTCTCCAGTGGATGCTTCCTAGTATATTAATAAATGATGCCCAAGTTACTGGATAGAGCGTTTTTTAATTTAGTGGGTTAACATTTTAAATAAAACTATCTTTTCGGATTAGTTCGTGGATTTATTTAGATTTTTGGCTCCCGACGTTTCGAATGCTTTACAGCAATCATAGTCAAGGGAGAGATCTAAAACACATACTTGTTACAGGCAGTACCTACCCAGTATTTTATAAAAATGATTTCAAAAATTCAAAAAATGGCAATAAAGTACCTTACAATATTTCTTGATTTTCATTTCTAAACATTTTAATTTATTTTAATAAGTATTATAATTAAATATAGCAATATTATTAATTTATTTTTTAATTTTTGCTCTTATTATTATGAATATTACAATTTTTAAAAAACTTTATTAATTACTAATATTATTTAGTGTTGTTATTATTATATTATGTATAACCATAAAGAATATTAAAAATTAAAAATATTAATTATTTATCTAAGTATATATATTTGTATTTGTATTATATTAAAATTGATCAAAATGATATTTTACTTCGATCTTTTAAGAAAATAAATATTGTCTTGAACTAAAAGTGTACTGCATACTTTTATGTTAAGTGAATAAACAAATATTTATATTGGGACATGAACCATGGTAAGCTACGAGGCTTGTATTATGGATACCAGATAGTTGATACACTACACATATGTATATAACTTTAAATACATACATATTATAAATATAAACACCCATGACTGGAGTACACACATTCGTGCTCATCACACAGATGAGTGCCCCCAGCGGGGCACGAACCCGCGACGGTTGGTTGGCATAGCAAGCACACACAAACTATGCCACACGTGTTGTGCCGTGTGTGCCATATGTCATGTCATGTCGAATTAAATACGGAGAGTCACTATTAGGCAATCCAAAAAAGGAGGAAGTTCTCAATTCGTCAGATTTTTTTATGTATGTTCACCGATTACTCGAAGATGTCTGAACTGATTTGGAAAATTATTTTTTTGTATCAAAGGGTATACTTCCTAGGTGGTCCCATATAATAACCGAATTTAGTTATTATATAGGTTATAAGTATAGGTTCTCTCAGACACGCGGGTTTACCCAGGATGTTTTCCTTCCCTGTTGTTTTGTATTGTATTCAGCCCTTTTTAATGTCCCACTGCTGGGCACGGGCCTCCCTTCAATACGTGGGGGGATCAGGCCATAGTCCACCACGCTGGCCAAGTGCGGGTTGGCGGACTTCACATGTCTGTGAAAACTTGCTAGGTTCTCTCAGACATGCAGGTTTCCTCACGATGTTTTTCTTCACCGTAAGGCAAGCGGTAATCATGTTAGAAATGATTCGCACATGAAAATATCAGAGGTGCGAGACCCGGGATTTGAACCCGCTTCACTCGGTGTCCCAAGCGAGCGTGTCACCACTGGGCTACCACTGCCTTTTATGCCTTCCCTGTTGTTTTAAGACAATTAGTGGTAATCATGTTGGAAATGATAAAAACATACATGTAAATATCACAGGTGCGAGACCCGTGATTTGAACTCGCTTCACTCGGTTTCCCAAGCGAGCGCGTTACCTCTGGGCTACCACTGCCTTTTATACTTACTTTAGGCCACCACTATGCATATAAAATGTAAAATAGTATGGATAATAATAAAAAACAATATTTTTTTAAATAATTATTTATTTCAACGAAGTACAATTGTTATAAATTATCAAAAATGTTACAGCAATTTATATTAACTTTGTCATATGCATTTTTTCAAATAATATATTTTTTTTTATAGAAATGAATCATTTTTTAGGGATATTTGTTGTAATAATTGAAGCCAAATAAATGGTTACTTTGTTTATTAATGTGCTTTACTTTAATAGCGTTAATCGTTTTTAATATAAATATTTAGTATTTAACATATAACACTGATGTAGACTTTGTAACGGGTTTAGAATTACGAATTTTGCTGTTCTACTTCTTGTCCCACATTGAAAGCCGATGAGTTATTTTTAGTTAAGAGAGCATTCGCAGCGCTATTAATGTTGTCAACAACATGAATTCCGTAATTATCTCCATTATCTCCACCATAGTTAAATGGCGGCACCGAATAAATAGAGCTAATGAAGCAGATGAGAAGGATCGCACAAGTGATGCTAGTCTGAAACAAATATTCAATTATATTCAAAAACATAATGTCACTAACTTAGAAGAGTAATACGAACATAATTTAAATATATTATACTAATATAAACTTAGCAAACAATTTGTATTCAGCCCTTTTTAACGTCCCACTGTTGGGACGTTAAAAAGGGCAATATTTGCTTTGTATGGGCTGGCACCGATTTCGAAAATATTTAATAGGTAGGCTTTAATTACTTAGCCAAAGCACACCGACTTTATGATGACCGACTTTATGAAAATATTTGATTAGGTATGTATAGTAAATGAAAACTACCAATCAGTTATTTTTTACTTTTTAGTGCTTTTGTTTGAAGTCGGTTTTTATTTTTTTGTTAAAAAGTTTTTATTTTTCCCTTTTTAGTGTAGACAGTAGTAGCAAAGTAAGAATTCTAACGTGTTAGGCTTGTTAAATCAAACAAAATAAGCCCAAACTCAAAGTATCTACTGTTAGCCGTTGAAGAGTTCCAACTATCCACCTTTTGACATTACCATCAGATCAGGTCAACAATACCGAACCACTGTACTATCAAGGGAAATAGAAACACTTGCAAAGTTTCAAGTCAATATGACAATTAGAAGTAGGTTAAATTCATCACTAGCTATTTTTCCACCCTTAGGGGTGGTATTTTTTTTGAAATTTAAATGGGACCAATCTGGAAGTATACACTTTCAAACAACACAAAAATTGTCCAAATCGGTTAATAAATGACGGAGTTCTGAGGTAACTAACATCAAAAAAATATTGTCGAATTGAGAACTTCCTCTTTTTGAAGTCGGTTGAAAACATCAGAGGTGCGAGACCCGGGATTTGAACTCGCTTCACGCGGTTTCCAAAGCGAGTGCGTTACAACTGGTCTACCACTGCCTCTTTACAGTTTAATTAACAAACTGTTCAATTATATTTATTAGAAAGAATATTTTAAAACAATTTGTATGCGTGATTATTAAAAAGATATTTGAAAAAAATTCACAAACTCATGTTTTTAATATTTCATTTAACTTACCTTTGAGGATGCCATCGTTTTTTGAAACAGTCTTCTTGCAAGTATGTACAAGTTCTTAATACTAAATTTGTTGTTGAAGTTTAATTTATATCAATTTGTTAAGTAATTAACGATACAATTTATTTTTATTACGTTAATTAACATATAGAAAATATGCAAATGGAACAAAGATAAAATTAAAAAATATAATCTATCTATACAGTTACTGTAATATTGCATACTTAATATTATAAATGTGAAAGTGTGTTTGTTTGTTTGTCCTTCTTTCACATCGAAACGGAATGACGGATTGGCGTGATTTTTGTGAGGAGATAGTAAAGATTATTTCATTCCCACGGGAAATGTTATAATACAACCCAAAAATATTTATATCTCAAAGAAATCTTTGGAGGTGAGAAAGAGACTAACAGTGAAATTATATAAAATGAAAAATATATTAATAAATTATACCTGCATATATTAAAACTTTAACTGAGTCCAATCTGTACATTAAATATTTTTTGAAAAATCTTATTGAAATTGTCATTATTATTGATAAAGAGGCCTACTCTATAGTTTTAGATTTTTTCCTATCTGTTTGTCTGGGAACGCATCACGAAAAAACCACTGGACAGATTTTGATGAAATTTGGTACGATGATAGCTGGGTATCAATGTCCACATATAAGATACTTTTTACTGCGAGAAAATATATTACCTCTGAGAAATCTATACTAACTGTCAAAACGTACCTAGGCAAACCCGAGTGAAGCCAGGGCGAGTGGCTAGTGTACTATAAACATATGTAGAAATGAACAATATATAGTCAATTAAAAAAAATACATGTGTTATCTATGTATTTTACATGTACATATATTATGCAAAATAAGTAGATAAGGTTATTATTATGTTACACTAGTAAAACCTGCGGCTTCGCTCGCGCTAAAACTACAAAAAAAACTTTGGCTGTATGTTATTTGTACTAGTAAATTAGCGAAATCTGTATATGAAATATTTTTTAAAAACAATGACTGTAACGTATTATGTACACAATATACATAGACTCCAAAACAATAGTTATTAAAATGTTTGTCTGTATGTCTGTTTGTGTGTACGCGTTTTACGCAAAAAGTGATGAACCAATTTCAACGAAATTTAAATTTAGTGAAGTGATAATTTATTACTCGGATCAACATTTAGGATACCTTTCTTTTACTGATGAAATGAAATGCATTTATACGCACGAAGTGTGGGACTCACCGGCGAAGCCAGTATTACCCACTAAAACCCAACAAAACCTTCTTATTGCCGGGCACTACTGGAGACCCCCCCCCCCCCACCACGACAAGGTGAACGTACTTTATGGGGGGGGGGGGAGTACGACTGAGTCTTAACGGTAAAAGAAAACATTTTACAAACTGAAATATCAACAATAATTAAACAAAACATTTGGTGAAAATTTGCAATTATATCAAATTTGCAAATAAATTAGATAGATCACATATATTTTGTATTATCAATAGTTAATAGTTACAGACTTATTTGACATATTTTTGTAAAAGCAAAAATTTGAAAATATTAATATTCGTGAGCCTGTAACTTTGTTGTTATTGATGATATGAAAAAGTTGATAAATACTTTTTATAGGATTTTAAACGTACTACAAATTTGCCATTTAACATTCTTCTCTAACTCTTACAGCTTAGCTAAAAATGCAAAAAACCGTAAATTTGAACTTCAAAGTTGTTATAAATCAAATATTGAAGATAGAAATTCGACTCAATGGAAATTTTTGTAGTAAATTTAATACTAAAAAAGGTCCACTCATTCATTTTTTTGAAAAATATTTTCGTCACAGTTTGCAGGGCTAACAAGTATTGAAAAACATTTTTTCCATGTTATTTGTATGGGAAAACTTAAAATTCAATGGAGAACCTCTTAGAATTGGAATTTTGAGCCCCTCGAAGGAGTGTGTGTGTGTGTGTATATATATATGTATACATATTTTAATTGATATTATTTATAGACCACAACTAAATTATATTAAAGTTATTGTATGGCGGTTAAAATCTATGCTAAATAAATATGTATACAAAAGATAATATGAACTCTCACTTGAAAAAATAATTTTTATCGATTTTTTTATATATTACAGTTTTTAATTATTACTTAGACCAAATCTTTCGATATGTCACAGTATAATTCATGGATCTTACATGAATTATAATAATTGGAAAAAAGCGGATTTAAAAAATGACTCATTTAACAATTAAGTTCTTAAACTATATATTTCTTTTACGCTACTTAAAACTGACTAACTCGGTATAATATCTAAAGGAAACATTTTAATTAATCTCAAATTTCATTCCAATCAACTAAAACGCCCAATAACAAGTAGCGGTGATCCATTACGTGACGGCGCGGCGTTGCGACACGTATTGTGTTGCGGAACCCATCGATTAAATAGTAAAAATGCGGTCTAAAATGATAGCGACTTTGGATTTAATTATATTATTGCTTGCGATTCACAACTATATAATACCTAAGAGACATCTAACACTTCAGTCTCTTCCGTGACCATGATTGCTGTAAAGCATTCGAAACGTCGGGAACCAAAAATTAAAATAAATTCGCGAAAAAATCCGAAAAGATAGTTTTATTTAAAAAACCCATGACTGAAGCACAAACATTCTTGCTCATCCCACAAATGAATGCCCCCAGCGGGACTCGAACCCGCGACCACTGGCGCAGCAAGTAGGGTCACTACAAACTGAGCCAAACGTGTCGTCAGAAAAATTGTATATACAAATATCCACAGTACCACAAAATATAAGTATAAACGCTCTATCGAGTAACTTGGGCATCATTTATTAATATGATGAAATGTAAACAATAGGAAGCATTCACTGGAGCAACCCCCTAAGTACGGTGCACCTGATATTCACACGTAATACTTTAATTGCATGTATTAATTAATAACCTCGATAATTTGTACTAAAACATAGTTGAAATAAGTGAATTTTAGTTGAAAGCTAAGATATAAATAATTAATACGAGTACAACTTTGCTGTAAGTATATGTATATAATTTTTCATTTACATTTCTTTTTATTGCTAAAATATTAAACAATAAATATTTTGTACTTATATTTTATTAAAGTTGATAAAATTAATTATTTAGTATTTAGTTTCTAGTTGTTTGCAGTTACAACGAAAAAAGTAAGAGTTATAACTAAAATTACATTACAAAGATGTCCGTTTAATGAAATTTTCATAAATTTTTCGTAAAACTTGCAATTTTTCTAACACTAGAGGAAATTCTTATTTAATACCCGCATTTTATTTAAAATGAGATAAAACAAAAACACCTAATAATATTCCCAAAGGCTACAGTTGCGCTTTTTATTTAAGAACCGACATTTTATTGGAAAAATTTTAAACAAAAATATAACTCTAACATTAAAACCAAAAATATATTTTCATGTAAAAAATACATCTTTTAAGAAATTTAATGTTGTACGAAAGAATACTGCCAAATTTTATGTGTCATATCAATTGGCGTAGCACGCCCGTAGCTATTGGCTACGTGACTACGAATACATCTACGACTTCTAGTTATAGAAGTTATAATATGATATTTTACTTTGTTCTTTTAAGAAAATAAATATTTTCTTGAACTTAAAGTGTATTGCATACTTTAATCTTAAGTGAATAAATAAATAAATAAATAAATATGTTGGGACATTAACACACAGCACCATCTAGTTCCATGATAAGCTTTGAGGTTTGTGTTATGGATACCAGATAGTTGATACACTACACCTATATAACTTTAAATACATACATATTATAAATATAAAAACCGATGACTGGAGTACAAACACTCTTGCTCATCACACAAATGAATGCCCCCAGCGGGTTTCGAACCCGCGACCGTTGGTCGGCACAGCAAATAGGGTCACTAGAAACTGTACCAAACATGTCGGCATATGTCATGTCATGTCGAATTAAATACGTTGAGTCACTATTAGGCAATGAACAACCTAAGCCGGTGGAAAAAAAAAATCGTCCAAGCGTATTTTTATAACAAAAATACGTGTTATGAGCACGAAGGGTGGATCCCAATAACCTATCTATGTATAGTTTGAGATAGATATTTTATATTACAGACATTTAAAATTCCATACAAGTATAAAATTTCTATTGCAGTAAGAAAAATCTAAGGCTCTGTAAAACCATGATTGCTGTAAAGTAATCGAGACTTCAGGAACTAAAATTCAAAATCAACCCACGAAAAAATCCGATAATATAATTTTATTTAAAATGTAATAAGTTCGTTTATTTTTAATGAGTTAATTATGTCTTTCTTTCATGCAAAATGGAGTAATAAATTAACAGCATCTGGGTCATAAAGTGTTTCTTATAGGATACTTTTTATTTAGCTTTAAATTAAGTTTATTTTGACATGACATATTAATATATCCCAGAGAAATTTTGGATAAATAAATAACGTAACATAAAATCGCATGCAAGAATAATATTTGTATATTTTATCTCTGCTAAAACAATAACAGATAAAAAATGTGCTTCATATAAAGCTCTATAAATTAAGCTCGTACATTTTCGGCCTTTGAATTTGCGTTATGTCAAATTTTGATCAAATATATTACAATTTCATAAAAGGTGTTTGGATTTATTAGATCGTAAACCAGATTTCAGAGTGTTGTTGAATGTTATACATAAGTATTTAGCTGTCAGATTCAATTTTATGAATATTTTTACGTTCACATATTAAGTACAGCCAAAAACTGTAAAGTAATAAATATAAAACCTCTTACGGATTAAATAAATAATATTTGATATTCAATTATAAAACTTATTTAAATTAAAAAAACTGTTTAAAATTAACAAATATTGTAAGATACTTTGGTGTCATTTTTGTATTTTTAAAAATCATAGTACAGTTTTGTGGGTACTGCGTGTAACAACTATGTATACATACATACGTATATAATGACCTTTGAGATATTTAAAATAT